GAGGTCCAGAAGATCATCCATTTACAGAATATAGCAAATCAAATGCCAGACATATTTACTGATTTGAAAAGAATAACTAAGTCGCATATCCCTGCAGAGAGTGTGTCTATCGAATTGATATCCCAACAGGACCATCTACTAGATGAGAGCTAGTGAACCTAGAGCACGCCTGAAGCGTGGTAGACCTTTGGGTTCTAAGGATCGAAATCCTAGAAAAAGAAAAATCGACAAATGATCAAAATGATATTATGAAGGGATCTCCTGAAGAGACTCAAAATCTGATCAGTTCTGAGATTCCTGAAGAAATCAATGAACCCGAGACTCAAGTGAGTGAGGAACTTTTAATAGGCTCTATTGGTGATGAGATTAATTTAAATCGATCTGAAATAGTGGTGGATAATATTTTTGCATATAATGTTGCACTTAGTGAGAATTTTGAACCCCGATCTGTCGAAGAATGTCGACAAAATATCTGATTGGCCAAAATGGCAAGAGTCAATTCAATCGGAATTGAAGTCACTTGCTAAAAGAGTGATTTTTGGAGCAGTAATCCAAACACCTGCTGGTATAAAGCCAGTTGGTCATAAATAGATTTTTGTGCGAAAAAGAAATGATAAAAATGAAGTTGAAAGATACAGGGCTCGCCTTGTTGCACAAGGATTCTCACAACGACCTGGAGTCGATTATGAAGAAACATATTCACCCGTTATGGATGCCATAACATTTCGATATCTCATCAATTTAGCCTTACGTGAAAGGCTTGAAATACATCTAATGGATGTGGTTACAACTTATCTGTACGAGTCACTTGATAATGAAATTTACATGAAAATCCCTGAAGGATTTAAAATACCTGAAGCATATTCAAAATCTCAAAAAATGTACTCAATCAGATTATAAAGATCTTTGTACGGTTTAAAGTAATCTGGGCGCATATGGTATAATCGCCTCAGTGAATATTTGTTGAAAGAGAGTTACATAAATGATGTTATTTGTCCATGTATTTTTATAAAGAAAATGGCTTCAGAATTTGTTATACTTGCTGTTTCTGTTGATGACATAAATCTTGTTGGAACTTCAGAAGAGCTCCAAAAGGCAATTGAATATCTTAAGAAAGAATTTGAGATAAAAGATCTTGGAAAGACAAAACTTTGTCTTGGTCTGCAAATTGAACATTTAGCAGACGGGATCTTTATCCATCAATCTGCCTATACAGAAAGGGTCTTAAAACGCTTTTACATGGACAAAGCGCACCCATTGAGTACACCAATGGTTGTTCGATCACTTGAAGTGAATAAAGATTTGTTCCGACCTCCAGAAGAGGATGAGGAACTCCTTGGTCCCGAAGTACCCTATCTCAGTGCAATTGGTGCACTAATGTATCTTGCTAATGCTACAAGGCCTGACATAATATTTTTTGTTAATTTACTAGCAAAATATAGTTCTTCTCCTACACGGAGACATTGGAACAAGATTAAGCATATATTACGATATTTACAGGGAACTCTTGATATGAGTTTGTTTTATGCTAACAAAGATAGTGCAGATCTTGTTGGTTATGCAGATGCA